AGACTTGTCTTATTCCTTTTGATTGCATAAACGCACACATACATACATACATACATACATACATACATACATCTTACATACATACATACTTACATACATACATACATACATACATACATACATAGATAATATACATACACATATACATACACTTTGAATGCAGTTGCATTGTGTGCTTCTGTGTACAAACATATGTATGTATATATATATATATACACACCTATGCACAGGCACATGGATATGTACATGTATGTCTGATAATTGCACATATAAATATAAATATGCATATATACATATATATATATCATGAACCTGCATGCATGTGCATATGCATGTGTAAGTTGATTCGCATGTGTATGTGTATGTATGCATACCTATGTGTCCATACCCGTGTATGTAGAAGTATCTTCACATATGTATAAGTGTATTTGCATCCGGTGCCTGTCTGTATGCAAGCAGGTTATACACAGGCATGTACCTACACATGTAGGTATATATGTGTATATATTTTTCATACATGATTTTTTTCTCAGCAACAATTCCCCCGACCATCACCCCCCACCTATAGAAGGGGGAATCGTTGCTGCGCAGCACAGGTGGCATTTTTGATTTTGCAAAATGCTATAATGCAGCAAAATGAATTCGGCTCGCTGGTCCTGGCAACATCATAGCTTTGCCGAGCAACTGTCAGGAGTTATAGCCATATTTGGGTACTGTACTGAGAATCTTCAAAGTGACTTAGCCTAAGCGCCTTTGATAGAAGTGACTTAACAAGAAACAAAAATCGACAAGCTCCAATTCGATATTTTTAACTAACATTTGGTCTTCCAGGTATCCAGGAGGACAGGAGCCGGAGTCGTGAAGCGCCTTTTCGCTCTTCAGCTTCCGACGAACCGGTTGTAGGGGTGAGTTCCGCCCGGGCACATTTGCCCGAGAGGTCCTTGCCGCAGCACTACGACCTTGCCTCTACGGCCAACAACTCGGGGCAGGACACAGCCCTTTTGGCCATTGTCCAGGAAATGAGGCGCCAGCGCGAGCAGGACGCAAAGGAACGCGCTGAGCAGCTCAAGTCCATGCGCGAGGAGAAGTCGGTGTTCACCTATAACCTCCGGGACGACCTTCCCGTGTTCGGTGACGGTGACTCAGACCTTGACAAGCACCTCGAGGCTTTCAGCGACGTGCGCATGGTCGTCAAGCCAAAGATTGATCGTGAGAAGCTGCGCTTGTTTGCCCGTACCCTTAAGGGTACGCGAAGGCGTTGCTACGACACCATTATCAAGGAGGCCAAACACAACGGCGACTACGAGTCTAAGCCCGCCTCTGTTTTCGACCGTGTTCTTGCGGCGCTTGATGCGTCGTTCCACGAGAGTGACGAGGCTAAGGCGATGAAAGCTCGCGCCAGGTATGATAGCCTTGAGAAGAGGGCTACACAGTTTCAGGAGTTCCAGGTCTCCTGGCTGGAAGCTCTCACGGAGCTCAACTCCGCTGGAGTGTACGCGTGCCAGAAGGACCTGCTCTACGACTACTTGCACAAGATCGGGTCCTTTCTCCGCGATGAAGTGTCGCGAGACCGGCGCTTTTGGCCGCTGCGGCCCTCTCCAGGGGTTAAGCAGGAGTTCCGTGGTGTGGAAAACTGGTCTGAGGCCGCGCTTGTCGCGCGTGAAATTACCCTTCGCAAAGACGCGAACAAGGCCTTGGAGTCACACCATGCCATTGCCGAGGCTGAACCTACGCGTTCCCCAAAAAACCCAAAAAATAAGAAAAATGAAGGTGGGAACGGCGGGGCGGATGCCACGCGTGCGCAGACGGTGGGACTACCCAGTGGTACTGGGGATGGCTGTAAGCACTGCAACAATCCCGGGCACATCACTTCGCTTTGCCCGCGGAAAGCAGCCGAGAAACGCGGCGAATCCGAGGCCCTCCTCGCGGAATTCGGCCGTACAGGTGCTGTCTGCAATCTCTGCGCTGCTGTGGGGATCAAGGACGGCTCTCATCGGCCAAGACACCACACTCTTGCTGCGCAAGACCAGTATGGTACCGGTGGCTCTGCACCGGGAGGCGGCAAAGGTGGTGGGGGTAAGGACAAGGACAAGGGAGGAGCGGCTTCCGGTGAGAAACAACCGTGCCGCCTCTTCGCTCAAGGGCATTGTACCTACGGTGACAAGTGCAAGTTTGCCCACGTCAAGGACGCTGCCAACACGCAGCAAGACGCCTCCCAGACCCTCACGGCCAAGGAGAAGAAGGCTGCGAAAAGGAAGGAGAAAGACAAGGCGAAGAAAGGAGCTTCGGGCTCTGACGAAAGAGTGTATCCGCTGTTTGAGGTATCCTCGGGGAGCACTCCGGGTGAGGCCGGAGCGGTGGTCTACGACTCATCGCTGCAGGTGGCTGAGCCGGCCACAAAGCAGTGGCGTCACTGGCCCGGGTCTCTTGCAAAGGTTCCGAAGGACCTTAAGACGGTGGCCGCTGCCCCGTCGCCAGGCTACAACGCGCAAACGCGCACCAGTTGCGCGGGTGTGGAGCTCGTGACTCTGCTTGACTCGGGAGCGACTTGCGGGTCCTTGCCTGAGTGGCTTTTCGCAGAGATATACGAGCGCACCGCCGCGGACGTGGCGAAGGGGAAGTTCACATGGAGTGACCGCAGCTGTCCAATCCGTGAAATCGGTGACTTTTCTAAGGATCCTCAATCGATGTTAGGATTCAAGAAAGGGACAGCCATAGAAACGAAATTCTATGTGATCCTCCGCCTCCTATTCACCCCTGTAGGGAAAGGAGCGCCGCAGTCAGTAGCCGTGAGGCTCAAAGTGATGCCTGCACACTCGGCAGGTTTTCCAGGAGTCGTTTTGGGGCTGCCTACCATCGGCCCTAAAGGTTTGCAACACCGCGTTACTGACGCTGGGCATCGGTTCGACAAGCTGGGCCTGACTCTGCCCCGCTTGGAGCTCGAGCGAGAGACGTTCCTTGCTGACGGGACGGAGCTGCGGGTCGAGACGAGCCTGTGTGCAGCGTTGGAAACCGAGGTGAGCCTCGAGAGCAACCAGTCTGCGGTTGTACCGGTCGCTTGGATCGGGGAGCCGAACGGATTGGCCCGAGTGGTCCCTGTGGCTGAGGGCCCAGAGGTGGCCTTTGGTCATTTTGACCCTGACTTGTCCCGTGATGGGACGACGGGTGTTCCAGCGGAACAAGAGCGAGAATTGCTCAAGCGTCTGGAACGTCGGACGCAAGATCTGCAGACCGCGCATGCTCGATTGCGCGACCCCGACTGTGACGACTTAATTTTTGGAGTTTCCGGAGCCTGTGCCCGAACCCGGCCAAGAAGGTCACCGCGGCTCAGGTCGCGAAGGGCCAGGAGCTTGTGTCCGAGCAAGTGCAAACAGCGGCCGAGGGAAGCGCGTCGCTTCATCCCCCGGTGCCCGTGCTGTATGCACCGGCCTACCAGTCGACGCCCGATGTGTCGGCTCAGGTAGGGCTTATCGAGGACGGTTTGCGGTCTGCCGGAGTTAACTCCGTGGTTATCGCGAGCGCCTCCTCGTTCGCCGATGACGATAATTTTGGCTACTGGGTCGATGTGAGGGCTCGGCAATTATCCGAATCGGTTCGAAAACTTCGGAAGCAGATCCTGACGGGTGTGGTCACTCTGGTCAGAGAAGTCTGCCGACGGCGGCCGCGTATGCTGGTGGGTGCACAACAGGGCGCGCTCATCGTGCTGCTCAGCTCGTTAACTGCCCTTGGTCGTCGAAGCGGCGCTTCGAGGACGCGTGTCTACAGAGGTGGAGCTCACAGAGCGCGCAACACCTGGGTGGCGGTGGAAGGTTTCAAGGGACTTACACTGACGTGGCTTTTCTATGTCAGGCGGTCCCAGAGGCTTTCGAGCCTCAGCGTAAGATGCGGCCAGGTGTCTTGGTGGCCCCTACGCAGGGCCAGCAGCGGTCCGTGTCCTTCTGGAGCGGTCTCGGAGAGGTTTTGGCGTTCT